ACCCCATCCCCACCTTGGCCTTGCCGGTGCTCTGCAGGATGTGCACCAGCGCACAGGCCACCTCCTCCTTGCTCTTGACGCTGAGCACGGGCTCCAGCACGGCGCAGAGCATGCGGTAATTGTTGGTGACGTACTCGGCGAACTCCTTGTAGAGCTCCATGGGCAGGATGCTCATGGTCTGGAAGCGGCTCTTGACCCGCAGCGCCGGGCACCCGGCCTTGCTCTTGCTGCCGCTGGGCTGGCTCAGGGGGTACCACTGCTCGGCGAAGTGGCGCCCGGTGACGCTGGCGATGGGGATGCTCACCATGCCCACGTAGTTGCTCTTGTCCTTCTTCCTCTTCTTGTCGGTGTCCTTGTAGAGGTGCAGGCGGATGGTGCGCACGGCCGGCAGGTTGTTGAACTCGAAGTGCTCGCCCCAGAAGACGTTGTCGGTGCGGGCCTTGCTGGTGGTGCGCGCGTACAGCATGTCGTCCAGGCACAGCTCGCAGTAGTAGCGCTTCTTGGGCGGCAGGTCGCGCGCCTCGATCACCCACAGCTTCAGCACGTTGTCCACGCGACGGCTGTTGTCCTGCGGGGCGGGGCCGGTGGTCAGCACGTGGGTCGGTGGTCAGCATGTGGTCAATGGTCAGCATGTAGTCAGTGGTCATCATGTGGTCAGTGGTCACCATGTGGTCAGTGGTCAGCACGTGGGTCGGTGGTCAGCAAGTGGTCAGTTGTCACCATGTGGTCAGTGGTCATCATGTGGTCAGTGGTCAGCACGTGGTCAATGGTCATCATGTGGTCAATGGTCAGCACGTGGTCAGTGGTCATCATGTGGTCAGTGGTCACCATGTGGTCAATGGTCACCATGTGGTCAGTGGTCACCACATGGTCAGAGCACTGGGGAGTGACGAGGCTTGGAACAAGGGCAGGGACTCCTCAGCCTGGTTGGCATCAATGCCAGGTGACCATCGACACCAGGTGACCGTTGACACCAGGTGACCATCAACACATGGTGACCATCGACACCAGGTGACCGTCCCCATTCCCACCAGGTGGTCATTGACACCAGGTGAGCATTGATGCCAGGTGACCATCAGCATCATGAACACCCTCAACACACCGTGACCACCAACACAGTGACCACCAACACAGTGACCATCAACACACAGTGACCATCAACACACAGTGACCATCAACACACAGTGACCATCAACACATGGTGACCACCAACACAGTGACCACCAACACACGGTGACCATCAACACACGGTGACCATCGATACCAGATGACATCAACACACAGTGACCATCAATCCATGGTGACCATCAACACACGGTGACCATCAACACCAGTTAACTACTGCCATTGCCAGTTCACCATCAACACCAGCTGACCATCGGTCATTGACACCAGGTGGTCATTGACACCAGTTGACCATTGACACCAGGTGACCATTGATGCCAGGTGACCATCAACATCATGAACACCCTCAACACACGATGACCA